GCCGGACGACCCCTCGTCGCTGTCGCTGGTCCCCTGCTGCTCCAACCTATGAGCCACCGCTACCTGTCACCCGGGGAGTGGAAGAGGGGAACAACAGAGGCCTCTGACAGTCGGGAGGGGAGGAGGTTACGTCACCACCCTCCGCTCTCCCGTGGCGTATTCAGGCTGCTCCTTCTTTCTCTCCCGCCCTTAGAGCCGCCAGTGCCGTCTCATCCTCCTCGGCCTCTGTTCCTGTTACCCTTTTTATTCCTGCTCTGTGACACCTGCTCTGCCTAAAGTTCCGCCCTCCACCGACAACTTCGGCCCCGCCTTCCCTTCTTAGGATAGGACGCTGAGCTGGGGGCGCGGTCTCCTTCCGGTTCCCTCTCTCCAGCCTCAGCAGCTGGATTCACCCCACATCTCTCTCCCTCCAGGCAGCTCAAGGCCGAGGGCCGTTCCGGGACATCTCCCTCTGAAGCCGGGCCTCTGCCGCTGGCAGCGCGGCCCGGGCACCTCGGAGGCGTCTCATCGGGTCCCGGGGACGACGGCGTCGGTGCGGCTGGGCGGCTCCTAAGTACCCGAGGGTACACTTTTATTATTTTTTTCCCATTATATACTACAGACATACAGACATACATACAAACAACCCCCAACTACCCCCCACAACATATAACCTATAACAAGAGATTTTATTATTTCTTCTGCTTATTAAATTTCCAAATTTGTTATCTATTTCACTAGGCTTATCTTTTCTGCGTTCTCAAATTACTACATTTATCTATCAGTTACATTTACATTATACCAATCGTAGAATCTCTTCCAAGTTTTTTGAAAAGTCCATTCTGTACCAGCTCTCATCTCAAGTGTCAGTTTGTCATTTTCCGCCATTTCAAATAGCTTGTTCACGTACTCTTGTTTCATTGGTATTTCCATTATTTTCCAATATTTGGCATATACTATCCTTGCAGCTGTCGACACATGAACTATCAAATACCTATCTGCTTTATCAAAGCCTTTTGGAAATATATTCAATAACAGTATCTCTGGAGTGAACGGAATATTAGTTCTTATTATTTTTTCCATTATCTCATGAATCCATCTCCAAGACCTCTTTGTAACATCACATCACCACCACTGCCTGGTAACTCTACGTGGCTAAAGAGGACTCAGTTTCACACATGGACTTGAACTACATATTTGGCTGCACGCTTCTATTGCAATATCTTCCTCTTATTCCCTTCCTCAAAATATTACCTGATCCCATTTTCACATATCAACAGAACTGTCTAGGGCTTGCTCACATGTCTGCCAAACAAAGCCCTCTGAAAAGATCCCTGTGGCCACCCCTCGCCTCTCGCTAGCCAGTCATGGCTTCCCACCGTCACATAAGAAGAGCCTTGCTGGATCAGACCACTTGTTCATCTAGTCCAGCAACCCTGTGTCACACAGTGGCCAACCAGTTCCTCTGGAGGTCCAACAGCAGTACATAGAGCCATGGACTTCCCCATATGTTTCAGAGGCTTACTGCCTCGGAATGTGAAGGCTTCCTTTGGTCACATACTCAGCTTCCACCAGACACTAGTGGCTTGTTCTGATGTCATTTCTCTTCCTCCAACTCTCCGAAGATTGCGCCTAAAAGACAGTCTAGGGCAGGGGTGTCGAACTCATTTGTTCGCGGGCCGGAACTGACATAAATGAGACCTTGTTGGGCCGGGCCATGTGTGTCATAAAATGTAATGCCAGGTAAAGGTTCCCTTGCTCGAAAGCCAGTCAAATCCGACTCTAGGGTTGCGGTGCTCATCTCTGTTTCAAAGCCGAAGAGCCAGCGCTGTCTGAAGACGTTTCCGTGGTCATGTGGCCGGCATGATTAAACACCAAGGCGCACAGAACGCTCTTACCTTCCCACCGAAGTGGTACCTATTTTTCTACTTGCAATTTCTTGCTTTCGAACTGCTAGGTTGGCAGGAGATGCCAGGTAGCGAAGATATAAACTTTATAAAGGACACAAACACAATGGGGTTTTTTAACTTAAAATAAAAACATGCTTAAAACATTAGCACTCTTGCAAGATTTTGTTTATTTAACAGTGTCTGATAACTGACACCTCTTGCTCTGAATTACTGCATCAAAATGTCTGTGCTGTTGCAATCTTGAGTGTGCTGTTCAGGTGTGTATCTGTAAGCTGCAAACCTATGATGATGCAGCGGCAGCAGAACTGGAAGCAGCAGCAAAAGACAGCCAGTTCCACTGCGGGCCTGATAGAAGCCCTCTGGGGGCCTGATCCAGCCCCTGGGCCACATGTTTGACACCCCTGGTCTAGGGCTTGCCATGATAATGGAAAGATACCATTGTTACTTCAATGGGATCTCCTTTGGAACTTGGACAGTAATAGTACTGAGGAAAGAAAGAGAGAGAGAGAGAGAGAGAGAGAGAGAGAGAGAGAGAGAGAGAGAGAGGGGGGGCATGCCTTTGCTCCCTCACTTAATCAAAGTAAGATCTCCGCTCCCCTGCCCCAGCGCTCCTGCCCCCCCCCGCCGCCAAAACTTTCTGGCTATGGGGCTGAAACCAGCATGCAGTTTTTGCCTGCTTAAGCCCCAGCTCCATACAGGACTACATTCAAGGGGCACAAATCCAGACCCGTATGCACAAGATCCCTCTATGTGCCCGTGGATCTTTCCTTAATCTTCCCGCGGCATCGGCTTCTAGGATGGATTATTCATTTGAGCGGCCAACGCACTGGACCTCCTTCTATAGTTTGAGTGGGGTGAGTGACTCAGGGATTTGGTAATTTTACTGGTGGTGCAAGCGAGAGCCGTGCCAGGACCTGTTGCCAGGGAAATTGCAGAGCACAACTCTACTTCCTCATATGGATATTTTGCATGCATGGGCCCTGGACTTCTGTTCTGCAGCCTACGTCTCAGTATCAACCTGCACAGCTTCTTCGTTACTTATGCTTATGTTTCTGTGGGGGGGTACTTGTGGGGGGAGTGATTTCTATTCAGTAAATCGTGTGTATGTGTTCAACTGACATTTAACTAGGGCTAAAAATATACATGGGTTCTCAGCATCAAGAAGTTAGCAATCCTATAATCACTGGGGAAAAACTCCCTGCGTGTAGCTATTGAGACTGTACACTTGATTGATTGCATGGCAAGGGGGGGGGGAAAGATGCACAGCAACCACAAACACATGAAACCCCCCCCCCCCGGAGATCATGTTCGGAAAGGAACACGTTCTCCTATTAGGTAGACGTGACCATTCGTTTTCTGTATGTGTGTTTTGTATCCCTGATACCACAAATAAAAGAAATGGAAACATACCACATCTACTGGAATTGCATTTTATGTTTCTTTTCTTTTCTTTCTTTCTTTTTTTTTTTGCCATCAAGTCGCAGCTGACTTATGAGAATCCCGTGGATTTTCAAGGGAAGAGACATGCAGAGGCGGTTAAGAGGTTAAGATGCTGAACTGCCAGCCGGAAGGTCAGTAGTTCAGCAGTCCGAGACCCGAGTGTGCCACACGATGGAGTGAGCTCCCGTCTCTAGTTTCAGCTCCTCCCAACCTAGAAGTTCGAAAGCAGGAAATTGCAAGTAGATAAATAGGTACCACTTCGGTGGGAAGGTAACAGCGTTCCGTGCGCCTTGGTGTTTAGTCATGCCGGCCACATGACCACGGAAACGTCATCGGACAGCGCTGGCTCTTCAGCTTTGAAACGGAGATGAGCACCGCAACCCTAGAGTCGGATTCGACTGGCTTTCGAGCAAGGGAACCTTTACCTTTTATGTAAGATCTAATAGATACTGTTACTAGGCTTGCCTCCTCCCATAGCTTTCCACTCCAAACAATTCAGAAAGCTCCCGTTCCAGTTATGTCCAAATCACTTCTTCCTTAGCTCTAAGGCTGTCAGTCTCTCTGTGGATTCGATCCAAACAACATCACTCCGTCATGCGGCAACCCGGGTCTCGAACTGCTGAACTACTGACCTTCCACAGCCTGCAGTTCAGCGTCTTAACCACTTAAGCCACCGCAGCAGTGTGAGCTAGCTCATAGTTTTTTAGCCTCTGACTCACACATTTTTGTCTTAGCTCAGGAAGGATAGCTTCAGAGTTAACTAATTTATGCCGTAGCCAAATTGCTTGCTCACAACTTTAATGCCAGTTGCTCGCAAAGTAGAATTTTTTGCTCACAGGACTCCACAGCTTAGAGGGAGCATTAACCACTGTTTTTGTCCTTCTTTTGTCTACTCAGACACCCCTGTCTGAGGCTGTGATTCGCAGGACAGAGGTCTCTCTTCTTTGTGCAATAAGCAGACCCCCTAAATCAAATAACCACGATCCTACCAGAGAAGGAGGGGGAAAAACTTCATGAAACATGCCCTCTCAGATCTGAAAGCAAACTGTAACAGAGTCCATGATGATTCTCAAATAACGTACACGGCCTGTTCACCTCAAATCACAGATCTGTTCTGAAAGGTTATCTTCCCCTTGGCTTGACTGGAAATTATTTGGTTGCAAATCAATGGGCTTTGAGACTATTCACACAAAAGAGCATCAGTTTAGGGTTTCACTGGAGGAGCGTGCTCACTGGCTTCAAATTCATTTCAGTATAACAGCACAGTGCATTCCTTAAAGTGTGTGCCGTCCCCCTCCCCCCCCCAGTACTAAAGCGTGACTCTGAAATCCAATTTACACATTAAAATATAATTTGCATTTTGGGCATGGTGCTGCCTTGCTCCTAGCCAGCTACCACAGAAATATCCTGCAATTCTCTGTGCCTTTCCCCTTAATCTGTAGCTTATCCCAACTATACGGAAACAGCCCTGCACGCTGAGGTTTCTTTTCTGGTGAATGCTGTTCACGCGTGAACAGCACGGCAACGGTCTGCTCTGTGAGCCAAAATACACTTTTGCAATCAGGTACCTTCCTTACAGATCGGTCTCTTGTCCCGCAGGAAGGACTGCCACCGCGACACCGGAGAAAGACACGGTTAAAGACAAGCAAAACAAGAGCTCATGTCACTGACCTGTTTTTCATTTTCATCCTCCAGCTTCAGCCTGTCCTCTATGCAGTTCCTGGCCTGAAGGAAAGCCTTCCTTTGTGCCCTCTCTGTCAAAATCCTCACAAAGACCCCATACAAATTTACACTGACAAAAAGGATAGCATTGGCCACAAGCTGTAAGGGGAGAGAGAAGGGGACAAAAGGGAAAAAAAATATATTATCACACACGCATTCTCGCACAGCTCTGAGTTATCATGTCTAAGAATCCAGCCACGTCCGTGACATCATTTCAAAAATGTGTCCTGCTCATCAGAGGTCGCAGGAACTTGCCACATACCATTGACCCCTACATAAGAACATAAGAACATAAGAGACGCCAATGCTGGATCAGGCCAAAGGCCCATCCAGTCCAACACTCTGTGTCACACAGTGGCCAGAAATACCAGGTGCCATCAGGAGGTCCACCAGTGGGGCCAGGACATTAGAAGCCCTCCCACTGTTGACCCCCCCCAAGCACCAAGAAGACAGAGCATCCCTTGCCCCAGAGCCCCTATCTATACCTTGTGGCTAATAGCCACTGATGGACCTCTGCTCCATATGCCTATCTAATTCCCTTTTGAAGCCGTCCATGTTTGTAGCCGCCACCACTTCCTGTGGCAGTGAATTCCAAGTGTGAATCACTCTTTGGGTGAAGAAGGACTTCCTTTTATCCGTTCTAACCCGACCGCTCAGCAGTTTCATGGAGTGCCCACGAGTTCTTGTATTGTGAGAAAGGGAGAAAAGTACCTCTTTCTCTACCTGCTCTTTCCCATGCATAATCTTTTAAACCTCGATCATGTCACCCCTCAGTCGTCGTTTCTCCAAGCTAAAGAGCCCCAAGCGCCTTAACCTTTCCTCATAGGGAAAGTGTTCCAACCCTTTTATCATTCGAGTTGCCCCTGTGGTCCACCGCTGTCTACTTTGACTGGGAGCCGCTCCCCCAACCCCGCTAGTTGTCGTCTTTTAGACTGGAGATGTTAGCAAGTGGGCCTGGGACCTCTGCAAGGAAAGCACATGCCTCTACCACTGACCCACAGCCCTTCTTCTTGAAACTGTCTTCAAGGGCCGTGAACCTCAAGGCTGGCACCTGGTGGCCAGGCACTAGGACCTAGCGAGTTACCTGAGACGGAATTCACACTAACAAGAAGCCATCAAATAGCATTATCACCACGGCTGGCCAGCAGCTGGCCAAGGAAGACAGTGGGTTTTGGAGCTATAGGTCATTAAAGTCATAGAATCTCTAGGGTTATCTAGCCCTAGGGAAGGGATCTCTAGGGTTATCTAGCCCAAGCCCCCGCACAATGCAGGAAATTCACAAATACCTCCCACACACACACACACACACACACATCGCCGGTGACCGCTGTTCCATGCCCAGAAGATGACAAAGAACCTCCAGGATTGCTTCCTGACCCTAAAGTGGCAATCACCATTTCCCTGGGCGTGTAAGAAAGGGCCACAAGAACGAAGCACTGAGGCAACCCTTCCTGCCCTCCCTCTCATGATCTGCCTAAGCTCACAGAATCATGGAACACTGTTTGAAAGTAGCAATGCAACAAGGCAGGGCCCCCCAACATGGTGCCGCTGGGCGCCATAACACCTACTGACCCTTTCCTGGCACCTATCAAGTGTTTTTATGGCTTCCGATTGGCCATTGGCAATCTGCTGCAGAGATTACTACGAGAATTTTACATAACCTCCCTGACTTTGTGTGGTAGCCCCTCCTCCTCGGACAGCCATTTTGTACTCTGCTCCGCGTCCTGTGGTGGCCATTTTGTAGTTGGCGCCGCGCGAAGGTTGCCAGCTCCAGGAGATTTTGGGGACAGAGCTTGGGGAATGTGAAGCTCGGGGAAGAGACAGACCTCAGAGGGGTATAACACTATAAAGTCCACCCTTCAAAAGAGCCGGCTTCTCCAGGGAAATGGACCTCTATAGACTGGAGACCAGGTGTAAATCTGGGAGATCTCCAGTCCATATCTCCAGGATGGCAACCCTATGCTTCCCATAGCAGCCATTTTGGGGGTGTGCCCCTCACCCTTTGTCAGAATTCCAAAGGTGCCCACAGGTTCTAAAAGACTGCGGACCCCTGCAATGCTCCCTCTGAGCTGTGGAGTCTCATGAGCAAAAACTCTACTTTGTGAGCTACTGGCATTAAAGCTGTGAGCAAGTGATTTGGCTACTGCATGATTCAGAACCTAAAAAGGTTAGCCAAGAATAGAAGAGGGCCAACTCTAAAAATCTAATTATGAAACGTACAAAAATATACATGTATTTATTCAACATGAATTAAAATAACAAATAAGGGCCCATTCATGCCTCATATACAAATATAAAAACATACAAAGGCTGATGAAATAGACCTAACACGTTTCAGCCTTTACAGGCCTTCCTCAGAGGTCTAATACAAATAGAACATGTTGGCTGATATGTAAAAATATATACAATCATACATATACAGAATATGGAATAGAGACCAGAAAACAATTGTTCCAAAGTTTAACCACTGGGCAAAGAAAAGAAATACAAAAATGCAAATGAAGCCTCCAGTGCAATCACATGTCCAGTAGTACTTCTCTCTGGTCAACTATATATTCACCTGAGATTGTACAGCCAAATGTTCCCAATGAAATGTTCCTTAAGTTAAAAGCCGTGTTGAATAAATACAATTTGTGTTGAATAAATACATGTACATTTTTGTATGTTTCATAATTAGATTTTTAGAGTTGGCCCTCTTCTATTCTTGACTAACCTTTTTAGGTTCTGAATTCTAGGTTTTAGGTTCAGTTTTTTCCCCTTTTCTCTTTTTTGGCTACTGCATAAACCAGTTTGCTCCGGAGCCATCCCTTCCTGAGCAAAGACAAAAAATGTCTGAGCTGGAGGCTAAAAAACTTTGAGCTAGCTCACACTAACTCAGCTTAGAGGGAACACTGGACCCCTGCTATGGGGGACCCTTGCCTCTGCCGTGCCTCCCAGCCAGTTCCTTCCGCTACTCCCCCCCCCTCATCCCTCCCATTTTTTGTAACATAAAACTGAATTCAGAGGACAGGGGAGGAAGCTTCAGCGAGGAGACCAAAAAAAGCCACAGGACGGGAGATGCTCTGGTGGTAACCTTTCTGCTGTTACAATCGAAAGGTAGACACTTGAGACTGTTAAGATGGAAGCTTTAATTCCAGGTGAAACCACCACCGCTAAGAAGTGGGTGTAGGCAGCTGTGTTCTGGCCAGCTTTCGCCTGTCAACCATCCACCAAGGCAGCCCCACGCATAGTTTAGGCCTGCTGTTCGTTGCGCCGGCATGAATAATGAACTGGAAGGTTCGGAGAAGGAGCTTGTGTTTCCAGCTCTTGTGGCTGGAGGAAGAAGCGTGGAAATCGGAATGAAATGCAAATCAGCACCAAGGATGCATGCTCCAGTTACCAGGCCGTTTAAAACAACTGCTGAGCGTGGAAAGCTCCTTCCAGCACAGAAAAAGGCCTAAGAAACTCCATTTCTGCCGCAGATTCGTAACCTGCAGATCGCAATTCTCAGAAACGTTACCAAGTGGCATCATAATCCAATCTCTGTACCAGTAAATAGGACTGTTTTTTCTGATTCTGTATGTTGTTTAATGGGTCTCTGACCGTAATAAAATGAATGAATGAATGAATGAATGAATGTATCAGTAAATAGGACGGTTCCCCCATAAGCAAAGAACCAAAACCCTGGGACTTTTGAATGACAACCCCGATTGCTTCGAATTAACTGCACCATAGAATTGCTTCAAATAGAACAGAAATCTTTCTCCCCAGATTCATAAGTCTGTATATATGGGATGGCTCTGTGGGTGGAAATCAACAAGAGTCCAGTGGCAGCCTGAGGACTAACAAACGCTTTATTCCAGCTAATAAAGATGCTAACATTTCTCTGGTGTTTTCTGGGAACAGAAACTGTGGAGGATGCAGATGGCCCAAACCAGCCCGATCTTGACAAATCTCAGAAGCTAAGTAGGTTAGGACTTGGATGGGAGACCCCCACCCCAAGGAAGTCCAGGGTCACGATGCAGAGGCAGGCAATGACAAGCAACCTCAGAATGTCTCTTGCCTTGAAAGCCCTACAGCAGGGGTGTCAAACATAAGGCCCGGAGGCCAGAACCAGCCCACCCAGGGCTCTTATGTGGCCTGCAAGCGACAAGTGCAAGGAAGGGAACAGGAGACTGCTCAGGGGGGAGTGGGTGGACCCACTCCGATTGTGGCTTCGGCATGGCAGAACAACCTCACCCGCTGCAGTCAAGTGCTGCACCGCTGGCTCTCCAGTCTGCCCATACGGGTTTTCCTCTGCATCCCCCTCCCACCCCAGGGGGCCTTGCAGTGAGGATACAACAACTCGGAGCACATGAGCGGCTGTCCTTTATACAGTTGATATCTCTGTTACCAGGCATTACGTTTCATGGCACACACAGTCCAGCCCGACAAAGTGACATTTATGTCGGACTAGGAAAAAGGCTAGTTGTGGAAATAAATACAACGAGCTCTAGAAAGAGGCTCTGGGCGGGTGCCCCAGCCTTGGACACTCAGTGTCAATTTGATGTGGCGACCTCAGCAGGGTATAATGACACTGAGTCCACCATTTTCTTCAGAGGAACTGATCTCTGCTACCTAAAGAACAGTTGTAATTTTGAGTGATCTCCAGCCCTCACCTGGAGATTGGCAAGGATGGTTCCCCGGAAGTGAATGGTTGGTTTGGAGGGTGGAGTCTATGGCTTTGTACCTGTCCGAGGTCCATGCCTCCTGAAACCTCACCCTCTCCAGGCTCCATCCCTCACATCTCCAGGAATTTCCCACCTGGAGTTGGCAACCCTATCTCCTTCCCAGCCAATCATCAACCTACCTTTATTTCCCCCTCACTCTTCAGCTTTCCACCCCTCACACACCTGCAGCCTTTCCCGTGCTCTGAAGCCCTGACTGCTACGTCACATTGGCTGTCATACATGGGCCACCTCAGCAGCATATAAGGATACAGAGCCCACCATTTTCTCCAGGGGAACTGATCTCTGCCATCTGGAAAGCAGTTGTAATTCTGAGTGATCTCCAGCCCTCACCTGGAGATTGGACACATTTTACCTCAGAACAGCAAACTGTTTAGAATGTTAGAGGCAAAA